GCTAATAGTAGAGGAGATAGCTGAGTTGAACCAAAGTTGCTGTGTTGATTGGATACAACTGAAGAGCAATGGAGCAGTGTTTATAAATGCCGAGACAGGAGGTATTCCTGTTACTTCTTTCCTGTTCAGTCTCTGTTGTGAAGAGCTGCACTAATAAGAGAAGGAGTATTTGTGCATGTTGCTCTCTTTTATCTGCCCACATGTTTCTATTCATGCAGTCAGCCAGGTAGTTTAGGTAAGTTACCATACATGTGTGATTTCTAGTTCCCTGTGGATCACTGCTGGTCAGCTCTGTTACTTTGATAGTTTATTCCCTATTCTCTTTAGATTTTCTGTATGATCCTCCTACCAGCCCTCTTTCTGCCTATTTTCAACTTTGCTGACAATTTTACTTTAGGTGTATTTTTAGTATCAGAGTATGTAGAGTTTTGAAATTTTCAGTATAAAAATCTTGACATTCTGAAATCTAAGGTAAAACAAGTTTGTTGGGTTTCTAATTTTAAATATCGTTTTTGTTTCTTTGTTTAAAAATATGCTATTCTAAAATATAATTAACATGCAGCAAGCTGTTAGAAAATGTTTATAGCAAATTCCAAAACATCACACTTATGACAGCCATCACAGCAATCAAAATAGGTGACATATCCATTGCTTCTTAAAAACACAGAACCTTCAAGTATCCACTTCCTCCATTTAACTCCACATGTCCTCTTTTATCACATTCTAGGAATTGCATCATAGTCACCATAGCTCTTCCTATACTTAGTTGACCTATGCGCAAAATCAAAACGAAAGTAAAGATGGAACCAGGAGTGCGGCTCCGTGGTAGAGAGCACTTGCCCATTATGCTTGAACTTTGAATTGTATCCCAAGTACTTTAAAAAAATCTCATTACCAGTCAGGTCATGAACTCATTTGCTTTTACCTTCATTTATCTAGTTGTAGAGGGGGTACTGTCCATTGTTGTAACCTATTGTGTTCCTGATACCATCGTCTCCTACTTCTTGAATTCTTTTTTCCCATTTCCCGAAATTTTATATGATTCTTTTAACTTCCCAATTCCATTTTCATTGCAGTAAGTCCTGGCTTACTTCTTAACTCCTTTTTTATTGACCTTTACCACCATGACACAAAAAGTAATTTCCTATGTGGCCTTTAGCCCCCAAAGACAAAATACTGTTTCTCTGCTGCTAAGTACCAAATCACTCTAAAACTCCTATGCTTAAAATTTACAATTTCTTTGGAACCTGACTAATGTGAGACTCTTTAGTCAAGAGAGAACTGAGAAGAGTGGAGATAATCACTGAGAATAATAGAAAATAATTAATCCAGAACTGAAAAATAACCAATCTTTAGTTTGAGTAGTACTTGGCATATAAGGAGTTGATGGTGGTGGTGGTGGTGGCTAATGTTAAAATGAAGATTCTGAGTTTTGGAAAGTGAAGTTGAATGTAAGGAAATGGGAATATATTGAACCTGCAAAATGGCATCAGGTTTCTTACTAGTAAGAATAGATTTGGAGAGGTGATAGGATAGTACTCTGAAGAAACTCTGAGGAAAAATGGTTTCTGCCCTTGAACTTAATACCCATATACTACAAAATGAAGTGGGAATATGGTAAAAACATTCCAAAAAGCAAGGTGTTTTGTCTGACATGCTTTTTCTTAGGAATTTACTTACCAGTGTTATTCAGTAAATCCCTGTGTAGACTAAGATGTAGAATTAAAGATATAGTAGGCCTTATCTTACTGTGGAAAGCAAGAAAAGAGAGCTCTCCCAGTCACAGCTGTGGAGTAGGCCTGGAGGTAATTGGGTTGGAAGGAGAGCCTATGAGGATAAGAGGAGAAGAACAGAGTGTGATGCATACGTTGTTGAGAAGCTAGACAGTAGTGAACAATAAAGAAAATGGTAAACACTAGAATGGTGGCCAGAATATAGAGAAGACTAAGAGCTATGCAAGAAAGTAATGATGAAATATGAATACAGCAAATAAACCTCATGATACTTAAGCCCTTGGTGGAGTGAGAAGACATGAAGGAGATGGGAAGATGCAACTGTTCTGTAGGAATCAAGAAATCCTGACATGACCACAAAGTTGAGACTGTAAAATTGATGACAGTATTGTGCCCTCATTTTGATCCATTTGTTTTTAAATGGTTCCTCTCCAGATGTAACACTGCTGTTTCTGCCAAACAGCCCCCAGAGGACTGTCAGTCTCTGTCCTGTTGTGAACTCCCTTTGGGATTTTCTACTATTTCATTTCTGTATTGCTTCAGTATTTATGTATCAGACTGTTGTGGCTGTTTTGGTTATAAAATGTTGATGTTAGATTTTTTTTTTTTTTTAAAGCAAAAAGTATAATTTACCTTATAAGCCTATTATCACTTGGCCACCATAGAATTCTTAAATATAGTTCTATATTGTAACCTATTAGAAATGTAGTTAAGATATATTCAGTCTGAAATTGAGTGAGTTATCATCTCACATCCCTGTCTTCCCCTCCAGCCATCTTCTGTGATGCTCAGTTAACTTTAAGTGACTCAGAGCAACTTTCCTTTATATACTTAGGTAGAAAACAAGAGAACAGTTCTTAGAAGCATTAAGTTAACAGATCTTAGTTAAAGGTGATGGACATTTTATATTGTATAACTTAGGAAAAATGGTGACACAGGTCAGAGAAACTGTTCTCTTTAGGGATTGAGTGCTCACTGAAGGCCACGTGAAGTCTGTTAGGATGCTGGGAATGTTCTGTACCTAGAGCTGTGTTATCTTAGTGGTGCACAGTGTATTAAAATTCATCAACATATTTGCTTATGCTTTCAGGGAAAATGGTGAAATAAAATGGCATTTAAGGTATATGTGAGCGATGGGAACATTGAGTGTATTGCTTACAGTGTAAATGATAGCCCTTTCACCATTTGTTTTCTGCAATAGAGGTTGACTTTGAGTTACATGAAATTACATGCGCCCAGGTACTATATTTATAGATACGAAGTTAAAACTTAAGGCTTTTATCCGCAGAGATAATCACTGTTAGCAATTCTCTCCAAAGATTTTGTACCCTAACATTCTTTAATATATAATTTTTAGCAATGTCAAACTATAAATATTCTGAGCTTGTTCCCTTTCCACACTTAACAGTGTAAAAATAGATACCCTTCAATGTGAGATTACAGACGTGCTGGATTCTTTTTAATTATCGTGTAGTACTATATTTATACTCAATTTCTTTATCAACTTCCCTAGATATTTCAGGCTATTTTAACTTTTTACAAATGGAAGCAATTCTATAATGGGCATTTTTACCCCTGTATTTGTGTTTTTCTGATAATGTTATAAAATATTTCCAAAACTAGGATCATATATTAAATTTCCATATTTACCTCCAGTCCCAACAAATTTGAATTATATTGTCAGCACTGAATATTACGTCTTTTAAAAATGTTTGAGGATATAAAACAGTGGAAGAATACTTACCCTGAATATACAAGGCCCTGGGTTCAATTTTTAGCACCATGGATAGATGGAAGATGATAGGTAGATAGATGGATAGATAATTCTCTCTTCCTCCCTTCCTTCCTCTCTTTCCCCTCTCCTCTCCCTCTTTGTCCCTCCCTCCCACTGCCCCTTCCTCTATCCCTCCCTCTCTCCCTCCCTCTCTCCCTGGGTTGTCAAGAGGGCTCAGCAGATAAATGCACTTGCTGTAACACCTGATGATTAAGTTTGATTCTTAAGATGCAGTTGGTGCAAGGAGAGAATCCCCCAAATACACATGTTGTGGTATATATGCCCATTTATATACACAATAAATAATTAATAAATATCCAAAAATATTCTTTGGGACTTGCTGGAACAGTAATAGAATCTTGTTATTTTACTTGGCTTTTCTCTGGTCACTGGAATTGAGTGTTTTCTTAGGTAATGACTGAGTCCTGTTTCTGTTAATCGTTTGTCTTGTTTTTTGTTTATTTTTTTGTTTTTTATTATTATAAATTATTAGGGCATTACCCTTTTTCCTGTCATGTGTGCTGCAATTATATTCTATTCAGTTTCCTCTTTCAGACTTACTTGCTTTAAATTTAGTTGTGTCATTAAAAGTTAAAACTTTTCCATTATGACTCCTTCATTTTGTGTTTAAGAGCATCTGCCTAGAAAAACCAGAAATATTATATTCTCTTCTGGTTTACTTGTAGTTTTGTACTAATAGTTCACAGGTATATTTTGTGATCTAAAAGATCAATTCTAACGTGCCATTTCTTGTGAATTGCAAGTTTTCCTCATAAGCTATCTTCCTGTGATAGTACTGTCTGATTGGTTGAAAGGTTTATATGTGATAAGGTGTTTTTCTTTTTTGTACAGAGACAGTGGGGATTTTATGATTAAAATCCCATAATGTACTTACATTTACAGCAAGACTTGTGGAAAGTAAGGCATGACAGTGTACTTGTCTTGGTGTTCTAGTTTAAATAAGTGATAGGTAAGAGTATACCTATGAAAAAGCAATGTATACTAATATGTGATAAATATTAAGGACAGAACTCAAAACCTCATTATATGAGGAAAATATATTACAAAGTGAATCTTGCTTTCCAAACAGGACTTACCACTAGACATTGTTGTATAGAGATGTCTAGGAGTTGGTGCCTTTTGTTTAGTAGCAAATACAAGTATCATTTAAAGTGGTTGTCTATTTAAAGCCATTATTATATAAATGATAATTATTTTACTTCTGCAAAATTCTGGATGGACAACAGTGTACAAACTATGTGATTTAAGAAAAAGACTCATCAATGTAAAATACCACATACAGAGATGAAAAGATTTCCTAGAAAATTAGGGGAGCCTAATGTATTCTGCTTTACTAAGTACAGTATGTTGGGAATAGGCATGCCACTGTGATTAATTAATATGTTGAATGGCATTTGTTAGTCAAAATACTATTTTAATTGTCTTTATCATCTTTTTCTCCCACCTATATCCTCTTTTCTCTTTTGCTACAGATCACACATCAGTTGGTGGTTTGGGAGACAGTTTTTATGAATACTTGCTGAAAGCGTGGCTGATGTCAGATAAAACAGACCATGAGGCAAGAAGGATGTATGATGATGCTGTTGAGGTGATTATTGTTTGAATCTTTACTTATAATGACTGGAAAAATGAACCATTTAATTATATGCATCTAGGAAAAAAATATATATATATTATATATAACCATTGTGTTCATTCACTATAGTTTGTTAGTATTTTAATGAAGTCCTTACATCAACTCTTATTTATGACACTTTAAAGAAAGTTGAAGAGTTTAGTGAGTGTATATATAAAACTTTGGTTATTGGTATATATTGGTATATATAAAACAGTTGGTTAATTTCTACAGAGACTGGTAAAACTACTGACTTCATCCTTGTCTGTAAATGTTTCTTTTTTAAAGTGCTGGTTTAAGCCAGTATGTTGAGAGTCCTTGAGTAAAGAGTTGTCATGGCACCCACTTGTGAGGTGCTTCCCCTGTGCCAGGCACTGTTCTAGCCTATTTACATAGATGATTCCATCTGATTATTGTCATTACTTCACATGGGAAGACCTTAAGACACAGTGGCAGTGCTCAGGTGGCTTGGTGAAGGTCACAGAGGGTCACAGAGCTGAGAGTCTGGAGCTGAGACTGTCCTTTTCATCACTACTTTATATTGTTTGATGTGTGTGTGTGTGTGTGTGCCAAACAATATAATATCAAATGCATATATATACACATACATACATACATACGTGTGTGTATGTATATATAATACATATATATGTGTAAATATATATGCCTAAAAACTTGGAGTTAATTCTGTGAAATTTCTAGGAAAAATTTAAAAGTATAAAACTGTTAATCATTTAAAAAGTTACTGACTGTCTGACCCATTGCAAATATGAATCTCCTTGATGATTTTAGTGTAACACAATCCTTCTGATATAGTCATCTATCTTTAGCATTATAGTTTTGTAAGTTTAAAAACCAAACCAAAAATATTATTACCCATTTTATGTCCTTTATTTTGTCAGTAGCTGATTTACTACCATTGTTTTAAAAGTGTTCTGGTACGCAAGTTAATGTGTGATGCACAGTGCTTTGCTCACTGTATTCACTAAAGCCTTAAATTTCAAATATCTTCACAATTTTGTTTTTTTCTGTTAAAATTTAAGCCTAGAAAACGATTCCGAAAAGTTACGATCTAAAAATTTTCTAGAATATTTTAGAACCAGAGTGATGTATTGAAAATAGCTTAGTCAGTTTCCCTAGTTTCTTAAAGAATAGAGAGTAATTTGTCAGTTTTGGTATCCAGCACAAATCCCCAAAATATAATAGGTACTATAAGTAGTTGAATGAATCTATTTAATTTTTTTGCAAAATTGTCACTTTTAGCATGTATTATATCATTTTTCTTTATATTTTTCTTATATCCTTAACCTAAAATGTTTTTTTAACCTTCCTTGTCAGAAGAAAAAAAGAAATATTTTTTATTAGTTTTAATTATCACTTTTAAAATAGTCTGTGATATATTGAATAGGTGTGATTGTTTTGAAAGTTAATCTTAAAATTTGAAATTATTTTCCATTACATGTATCATATACTATATGTACATAACTATGTATTTGTTTCTTTCACTCTGTTTTTATTAGTTTTTAAGTTTATAATGGATTCCTGCTTTTTTTAAAAAAAAAATAATAATTGGTCAAATTTCATAGCAAAATATGATCTCAGCTATATAATTTTTGTACATTGTTATCTTCAGCAAGTATTTCTATTAAGAGACAGTATTTTGAATTGTAAAATAACATTATGTCCATAGAAGAGACAGGACTGATTGAATGTTTCAAGATTCATTCTAAATTTATGTGTAACTTCTGAGAAACTCTGTTTAAAATGCTTCCCTTCTCATCCTCCTCTCCTCTACAGATTACTATAATCCTGATTTCTTCGTTTTAGTGTCCTTATAGGTTTTAGGCCAAATATACATTCAGTCTCTTTATTTTTTTAGGTACTGTATGAAATATATATTTTAAAGGCTCTTTGGCAGCAAGGCAAGTGTGGTAATGCCAGTGAAGATGTGTAAAAGTAATATAATTATCCCTAACTGCCATTCAACAGTTGGCATTTTGTTTAAGACCCTGTTATATTCTTTAGAGGGAAAAGTGCAGTAAAATCAACCTCAGGAGCCCCAAAAGTAGTTTAGGGTGCAAAGTCCTGTGTTAACCCACCCTTTCTTTAATCCTAGTAAGTTCTTGAGCATGTTTGGCTGTCTTATATAATAGTAAGATTTGTTTAGTAAAGGCCAAAAATGAAGAGAACAATGTAAATATTGTGTAAAAAGTTAAACTCCTAGATGTGGTCATTGTAATTTAAGAAAAGCAGCACTTAAGAGAAAACAACACATTGTAACAGGGTTCAAGCAGAGGGATATTTTTCTCTCTTTTTAAATTAGGGAAGGAGATCTTAAAAAGGGGAGTGAGGAGACTGGCCTCCTGAGACAGGACAGAAATAGCAGGAGAGGAAAGAGGGGCAGGAGGTGGGAGGGAGAGAGAGGATGAAGAAGGATGGGAGGTGGTTAGAGGCCTTTTATAGAGGAACAATAGTGAATAGGTACTCTTAGTGCAGCAGCTGAGGGACTACCCTGTCAGGACCCCATCGGCAGGCCAATACAGATGCCTGAATACTAACAGTGGTGGTATACACCTTTAACCCCAGCACTTAGGAGGACCCAGAGACAGGCAGACATCTGTGAGTTTCAGGCTAGTCTGAACTTCACCGTAAGACTCTGTCTCAAAAACAAACAAACAAAAAATTATAGCCAATTCTTCAGGTAGTTATTATGTGTGTTGAAGCCATGTTAAAATCACTTAGCCTGTAAGGATGAAAAACTTAGCCCCTCTATTCAAAAGATTAATCTTTGAAATATATGTATATGTGTCATCCTTTAAAAAAAAAAAAAAAACTTAGAATCCAGTGGTCAGCTCTAGCTCTATTATTTGATTATCAGCCACTTATCATTGCCTTTTTCGGTCAGATCTAATTATCTAAGAGAAGTATCATTTATAAAATTATTTATTGAGTTCATATCACATTATAACAGGCCTTCTGGAACATATGATGAAAGCATAATCCCTACAATTCTGTAAAACACATGTTCTCATTACAGAGAATATAAGGTGTATTTTTCCAGAACTGGATATTATTGAACATGTCAGAAAACAACCTGTAATCAAAATGTGAATTAATCCTTGAAGAAGTACATATCGTATTTCAGAAAGAAAAGCATGGCCCTTCTCAACAGTGTAAGAACAGAGTCCAGAGGTACAAAACTCATTTAAAAAAAAAAAATCTCATTATTAAAATGAAGTGGGATTGATTGTTATGTCCCACTTTTTTATATGTATTTTAGTGTAAAATATTTCCTTAGCTATACTCATTATCTTTAGTAAAATTCACATTTCAGGAGAGTAGCCTGTTTGTGATATTGTCTCCCTTTATCCATGACAAAACATCCAAAACAGATTACCCTACTTTGAGAAACCAATTTGCTGAGGAGTTAAGGGATGTATATATCAACTTTCAACTAGTTTTGAAAGCCTCACCATGTACAAGGTATACTATGCTTTTTTAAAATTGCTTTGCTAAATGGCATAGTTACATGAAAATTAAAGAAAAAATTTAACTACTTACTAAAACATTAACTTATTCAATCTTCTGTTCAGGTTTTGTTGTTTGGAATAGAAAATGAATTGGGAGAACCTTTTGGGTTATAACTTCTTAAGGTGATCTCAGTGGATTAAATATTAACAATTTTCATTTAGCTCAAGAAGATAAGCTATGTGGGTAATATAATGGAGAAAAGCATTCAGTGGCCATGTGTCTTCTCTCCTGTTTTGTTTATAGTAGTGACTAGGATGTTCCAGGATATATATAGTTTCATAACTCATTAAAATTGTATTTACAAATTAGGTCTCCAGTTTGTGAAAGTTACTGCTTTATATAGTATCATACTGCCAACGTTTTTCTGGTAGCCCAAAGTCCGGACATTGTGCTGTCAGAGTTTGTGCTTTTATTTGACTTGCAGTTCCATGTTACAGCCCTTTGTTGTGTCAGGGTAGGAACTTAAAGCATCACTCCTGCCAAGTGCAGAGAGGGCCTTTCTGCCTGACACATGTGTGCTTTTGCTCAGCCAGCTCTCTTTTACACAGTCCAGGACCAGCCCATGAACTGGTACTGCCATATTTGGAATGTGGCTTTCTCACCTCACCTGACAATCCAGACAGTCCCCCATAGACTAGACCTGGCCTCAGACCAACCTGGATAATTCCTTATTAAGACTGTTTTCCTTGGTGATTCTAGGTTATGTCACATTGACAGTTAAAATGAAGCAGAACAGTTTGTGTCTAAAATTGTTTATTTTTTCCTTGAAGGCTATAGAAAAACATCTTATTAAGAAATCCAGAGGAGGTCTTGTCTTCATTGGAGAATGGAAGAATGGACACTTGGAAAGGAAAATGGGTCATTTGGCCTGCTTTGCTGGGGGAATGTTTGCACTTGGAGCAGATGGTTCCAGAAAGGACAAAGCAGGTCACTATTTAGAACTAGGGGCAGAAATTGCACGAACATGCCATGAGTCATATGACAGAACTGGTAAGAATATTAATAAGGCTAATGACTTAGTCTAAAATAAGATCTCAGTTAAACATGTTTTCAAAAATTAGAAGGAAAGTAGCATATTTGTATTGTTCACTTCAAAATACTGCACACTAAAATAGTAGATAATTTTTTTCAACTTCTAATTCGAAGAATATGTTTCCAATATAATTATTAAAAATTCTGGGGGAATTTTTGTTTGTTTTATTGTGTAATATTTAGAAAATAATTGTGGTAAACACAAAAGGTAGAATATTTGGCATAATGTTTTATTTTTTTAATAAAAATCCAAAACTGTTAGTTTATATCACTATGCTTATACTCTTAAGACAATAGAAGGAACCAAAGGAGAATAGTCATTACCTCCAAAGTACAGTTGCTATCTGGCTATCAGACAGTTTGCCTTTTGCTTAATTCACCAATAATTTTTATATGTTTTCTTAAGAAAATCCTCTGGCATTACTTTGGGAAAATATATATTTTCTGACCCTCTGTGGTTTAGAGTTGAGATAGTTTTTATTGCTAACAAAAATTGGTTCAGAACACAGATACTGTGCACATTCACAGGTGGATAGTCAGCGTATGGAAGGGCTCCTTACGGGCACAGTAAAGAAAGGGGGTGCAAAGTACTGGGCTAGACCTGCAGTTCAGTTTGGCTTTACAAACATGGTTTTCTGTTTGAAATGATTAGTGACCTGGAATCTTACAAACTTGTAATTTCTGTTAGTGGTTTCAGAAGTTGAATTGTTGCTTTTCTGCAGTGACTGAAATTTCTGTTTCAGGGTTAATTTGTCTAAATATAATTGGCTTGGAATTTGTCCTTCATAAATCTATTGAGATACTTTTATGTAGTAAGGAATGGAATTTAAGGTGAAATAGATCCTTCAGTTCTATCATTGACAAAATCAGTGTTTGTTTCTTTTTAAATGTAGCTTAAAAGAATATTAATACATGCTGTTTCAGTGTTGTTGAGTGTTGGTATTAAGTCAAATGATCTGATTTATAAATAAAATTATTCCTGTGATAATATGGAGTGTAAGTTATACACTTAAGATGTAGTTAACATCTGAGTAAAATTCCATTGCACCTCTATGTCACATTGTTACTTCCCTTTCAGCTGGTGGTGGACGTCTAGGCTAATTCCCTTTCCTCCTGACTGTGAGGTGGACAGCAGTGAACAGGGATGTATAAATATCCTGTAGTACGATGTAGAGTCCTTTCAGTATGTCAAGAGGGGTATAGGCGATTCATCCAGTAGTTTTGCTTTTAATTTTTTGAGGAACTACCCGATAGCTAGTGGTTAGTGGTTAGTTTTAATCCAGTTTGACACAAAGAATCAGTTGGAGAAGAAGTCTCAATGAAGATTTGTCCCTGTCCAGATCAGGTTGGGAATTGTCCTGACATGCCTTGACCTATTCTAAAAGTGGGCAGCACCTTCCATGGGTTTGAACTCTGGATTATATAAAAGGAGAAAGCAAGGACGTATGTATAAAAGGACATAATTATATATGCATTGATTTGTTGTACTCCAGTGCTGACTGGATGTAATGTGACTAACTGCCTCAGGTTCCTGCTGCCTTGACTTCCTCACTGTGATAGACTGTGACATGGAATTCTGAGCTCTAAAATAACCTTTCCTAAATTGTATTTGTCAGAGTGTTTTATCGTAGCAATAGGAAATGAAACAAAGACCTCCTTACTGACTTTCATAGTGACATTGCTAGTTTAGACTCCCACCAACAGTATTAAGGGGTTCTCTCCCTCCCTCCCTCCTTCCCTCCCTCCTTCCCTCCCTCCCTCTCTCCCTCCCTTCCTCCTCCCTCCTTTCCTTCCCCTCCTTCTTTGTAGTTTCTTTTTTACTCTTTTTATTCTTTGGCTTTTTTTGTTCTTTGGTCTTTTGGTCGTAGAGTCTTACTCTTACTTATGAATGCCTGACCTTAGCTTGGTTAGTTTCTAGCCAGCTTTTCTTAGGTATGTTTTGCCTCTGGGCTTTTTCCTTTTCTTACTTCTGTGTATCTTACTTTCGTTCTTACTCTGTGGCTGACTGGGTGGCTTGTTCTCCTCCTCTTTGTGTTAGGATCTAGACCTCATAGGCTTTTCCCCATCCAGTTTAGCATGTCTATTGGTGTCAAACTTGTTCAGCCTTCGTTTGGGCAGTCATGTGGATGACACTTTACAGGTATAGCTTCTGACATTTCTAGGAGACACAGTCTTACTCCAGATCCTTTGGCACTTATAGACTTCTGCCCCCTCTTTTTCAGTGTGCGAGTGTTTTGTAGATGTATCCATTGGTCCTGGCCTCCATGACTGCTTTTAGTTGGCTGTGGTTTTCTGTAATGGTCTCTGTCTACCTTGATAGCACTGTTGATCAGTCTCCTATTATGATTGTCAGTTTTATGTAGCAAGTTAAACCTGTGACCCTGTTAGGGTATCTCCAAAAGCTTGCTGTTTGAATGTGCCTTTTTTAATTGTCTGTGTTTTCAACTTAGATCCTAGGATTAGAAAGTACAGTCCTAGTTTGCATTATATTTCTAGTTCTCCTGTACTCTGTCTGCTGCATTTTCTTATGGCTCTATTCATTATAAGTTTTTGGCCACCATATTTAAAAAATTCCATCTCCTCTTTAGTAATTACTTCTGCTAATTCATAATATAGTCATTTCCTTGGGAGTTGTCACTTTCATTCATTGTTGGAATTGTAGGATTAAAATTAATTCAAAATTGAATCATCTTAATGTGTTCACCGTGTGGTGAACACAGCCATTAGTAATATTTGGCTGCGTTTATGGGAAGCATTACTGACCCTCTTCATGAGATGAGTACTGCCTCAGCAGCGGTTTAAGCGTGATGTACACACAGGACATGGTTTCAGTTTGTTTTGAACACAATTTGGTGCGCTTCCCCTTTTTCATTCATAAGGCTTTGCAGGGAACAAAATCTGTTCTCTTTCTTGTATGTTTGTGAAGTTATACATGACCACTAAGCAAAATAATTTTTCAGTGAGAAGCTCACAATGCTAATTTCTATTCCAGTTCTGATGTTCTATCATTATAATTGTGGAAGTTGTTAGCTAATGTAATCTGATCACTTCTTAGTACTAACAAATTTAAAGTTAGCCTACAAAATTAGCATCCATTATGGCATTTTCACATTTTATTGCAGTAGACATTCTCTTCTGCCTCTGTTAGTCTCTTTCCCACCTAGGTATCTCGTAGTTATTACCCTGCCTATTAGGACCACATAAATACGTCTTTATTTGTATGTCTATATAGCTGTCTCTGTATAGAAACCGATATACATTCAAAGCTGGTATCTGCACATCAGAGAGAATAGACATGGTATTTATCTTTTTGAGTCTGGGATTCCTCACTGAATACAGTAATTTCCAGATCCATCCATTTTTCTGAAATTTGCTTTTCTTTAGAGAAAGGAAAAACACACAAGAAATCTAGACCAAATAATCTACTCTTGGTTGCTTTCATACTTTCATCTTAGTGCTTATAATGTTTTAGAAGTATTTAAAAAATTAGTTTTGTTTGTTTATTCTTAACAGAGTTTGATTCTGTACCAAGGATGGCCTTAAATTCAGTCTATTTCATATAGTACTAGCAAGAATAGTCAGACAAGAAAAAGAAATGAAAGACATTAAGATCAGAAAGGAAGAAGAAAAATTATCCTGATTTCCACATAGGATGATCATGTATGTTGGAAATCCTAATGAAAACTTCATATGCACACACACAAAACTCTGTTAAGATGAATGAATTCAGTGCAGTGCTAGGATACAAATCAATGTGTAAAAATCACTTGTATTTCTTTACACTAATTGCAGTCTGTTGGAGGGAGAAATCAGGAAAAGAACCCTGTTTATGATAACATCAAAATGACAAGATAATTGGAGCAGAGAGATGGCTGTGTGCTCATGCTTACTGTGTGGATTTGAAGATCAGAGTTCCTAGCACCCACTTAAAAGCCAGCCTTGGGCCTGGGAGTTTAACCCCAGCACTGGCAAGTAGAGACAGGAGGATGGCTGGGTGTGCCTGGCTGCAATATTGCAAGCTCTAGATTCAGCGAGAGACTCTGCTTCAAAAGAACATGACAGAGAGTGATGGAAGAGGTTGCTTAGGGCCTTCCTTTCCTTGGCTTCCACATGCAGTGTGTGTATACTCACACTTGTGTTCATACTCCTCCCTGCCACCCGCAAATGCACAAGAATACTCAACGAATCAATTTAACCAAAGAGAAAGACTGTATGCTGAAAATTAGAAAATATTGATGAAAACTATTGGAGGCACAAATAAAGAGACAGAATGGTATCTGTGTTCATGGATTGCATGCTATAATTACCTTTGCATTTGTTTCCAGGGTACTACTTAGCTTTTGATAGGAGTCAGATTGGGCCTCATGTTGATGTGTTGATGTATATTGTTTAGAGAGATACATCATGCCAGAGCAATAGAATTATTTGTAATTCTGTTAGAGGGAAATCTAATGTGGTTCTTTTAAAACAACTCATTTTGCAAAATAGTAACAATAAAAATAATCAAAGTTACTTCAGGGCTGGGGTGTAGCTCAACCTAGTATGTGAGATGCTCTGGGTCTTTAATACCAATCAAATAAATAAAAATTGAAACAATGGGAAGAAAAAAAAACTCACAAAAGATAAAGATTATTTCATACTTCTTTCTTTTAGGGAGAACAGTGAGTATTCCTTAAAGCACATGTTGTTTATGTAGCCTTCTTTCTTTCTTTCTTTTTCTGACACGTTACAGCGTTAAAACTAGGTCCCGAATCATTCAAGTTTGATGGTGCAGTGGAAGCTGTGGCTGTGCGGCAAGCTGAAAAGTATTACATCCTCCGTCCAGAAGTAATTGAAACCTATTGGTATCTATGGCGATTCACCCATGACCCAAGATACAGGCAATGGGGCTGGGAAGCAGCACTGGTAAGTATCCTGATTTCTTCTTTTTTCCATGCTGATTGGGCAGGGCTGCCCCCTGTGCCACATATCCTCATGAGCCACATTTCCTCATCCCTGTTACTTGATTTTGAGAACTGTACACTTCGATTTTTCTGAGGAAGAAAAGTGTTCTCAGTTTGTCTTTTGAGCAGCACAAGCAAACCTTAGAGTCCTGTTTGCTCTCTATGAGAACTTTCATAACAGTGTGCACTCGCTATTCGAGTAAGCAACTATAAGGAGTTATTTAAAAGGCAGTCTCTCAGTATTGTTACAAAATAAGCAATGTTATTTTTATTATGTCTTTTTAATGTTTAACCACTGGAGAAAAGAAGCATTGTCATATTAACCCAGATTCATAGACTAGAGGATGATTCTTGTTCATTTTACCCTGTGTTCTAATAATTCCTATGTGGATCAGTAAATTATTTTTAAAAATACAAGACAAAATGAGGTATACAAGCAGAAAGTATATGTGTATATATTTGGAAGCAGGAATTTTTTTACAGTTAATAAATAAAGGAAGCAATCCATTTACTCTTAAATAGTCAACATCCACATTAAGTGGTGGTGTGTGCTTATAATCCTAACCTTCAGGAGGCTAAGGTAGGAGCTGTCATAAGTCAGAGACTTATGCCAAGCTGGACTGCCAAGTGAGCCTGGAGCTTGCCTGGGCTTAAACTGTTCCCATATGGTGACAGGCTAGTCTTTAAAACAGGCAAAAACATTTATTTATTATTTGCATACCCCATATTATTTGTATTTGGAGAGGTTGTTGGATCCTCTGGAACTGGAATTACAGGTTTTTCTGAGCCCTCTGGTGTGGGTGCTTGGAACTAAACCCAGCCCCTGTGCAAGAGCAGAAAATGCTCAGTCCTGCTGAACTGCCAGTGCAACCTGATGGTGTGTCTGTTCTTCACATGGTCATTATGGTTAATAGGGTGCTTGTATTGCTCAGATAAAAGCACCAGTACCCGGGTAAAAGGCTTTAAAACCCAGCGGCAGCAAATAGAAACCTTGAAAAAGAAGAACTTGGACCCTGGTGGTGCACACCTTTAATCTCAGCAGTCAGGAGGCAGAGGCAGGCAGATCTCTGTGAGTCTGATGCTAGTCTGGTCTACAGAGTGAGTTCAAGGACAACCAGAACTGTTACACAGAGAAATCCTGTCTTTGAATTGAGAAAGAGAGAGAGAGAGAGAGAGAGAGAGAGAGAGAGAGAGAGAGAGAGAGAGAGAGAGAGAGAGAGAGAGAGAGAGAGAGAGAGAGAGAGAGAGAGAGAATGAGGGAGACATTTGCGCCTGCAAGATACTCAGTGGCTTTCACTTAAAAGTAGAGTTGTAAGTACATTGTTTTTGATGTAATACATTTGATTTATATGTATTCAAGGACACAAGAAAAAGTACACAGTAAGCATTCTAAATTCCTGTCAGGTATTAGTAGTTAAAAGAGAATAAATTGCTCTGCTCAATTTCTCCATCTGAAAAATAGAGCTGTTAACCTCCTAGGATTATGAAATTTAAATGCCAGTGCATGTGAAGCTCTTAGAATGGCCTCTGGCAGATTGTCAGCTCTTAAATAGTCACCATTACCATCTAGGCATGTAGGGGTATACTTGCTGCTACTTCTCACCACCTATGGTGCTTAACTAATAGGAATGTGTGAATACAATGTCTCAGAATACAGTGTGGTTACAATAAATATCTCTTATTCATTACCTCTACCCTATAAAGCTCCTAAATAATACATTTTTAGGATGTTATGAATTAGTATTTGTTCTTGGGAGTGATCACATTGAAATTCATTTTGTGTGTGTGTGTGTGTGTGTGTGTGTGTGTCTGTGTGTGTGTGTGTGTGTGCACTAATGCATGTGTATGTGGAATTCAGAATATAATCTCATGTTCCTCTTGTGCCTTACCCTTACACATTTTAAATAGGGTCTCTCATTGGCCTAAGACTTCACCAAGTAGGCTAGTCTGGCCAACCAGGCTAGCAAGTTCCAAGGATCCACCTTCATGTGCCTATGGCTTTAACCATTGCTGGGATTACAGAGCACACCATTGACCTCTGTTTTTTACATGGATTCAGAGGAGCTGAACTCAGGTCTTTACTTTTTTTTTTTTTTTTTTTTTTTTTTTTTTTACATGGATTCAGAGGAGCTGAACTCAGGTCTTCACTTTTCAAGACAAGTGCTTTATGAGCCATTTCCTCCACCCCTAATTATAAGCTTATTTCTGTCTTGATTTGTGCCAGACAGCTCCCTAATTCAGAAAGAATTTCTTGACATTTAAGTCAAGAGAATACAAGCTTACTGTAGAGAGATTATAGTGTTAGAGAGGGAAAGACATCCCAGTACAAGTTTGGTTTTTTTTTTTTTTCCCAGTATGAGACTATTTCTATTTGATAACACTATGCTTAGGCTTCATGTATAATCAGTTATAAAAATACCCAATTTTCCTACAGAAAATGAGTGTGTGTTTTTCTTTTTAGTAGAGACAGGTTCTCACTAGGTAGCCCTGACTGTCTTAGAACTCACTTTGTAGACCAGGCTGGCTTTGAACTCACAGAGACCTGTCTGTCTGCTTCCCAAGTGCTGAGATTAAAGATCATTATGTCCATCCTTTCTGTGAACTTTTGAATGCAGCCTTTCAACAACTTCACAATTGAATTGTATTCTCTGCTCTCCTTCACAGGCTATTGAAAAGTATTGCCGAGTCAGTGGTGGGTTTTCTGGAGTCAAGGATGTGTACTCCCTCACGCCCACGCATGATGATGTACAGCAGAGCTTCTTTCTTGCTGAAACATTAAAGTAAGCATGTACTACTCAAAAGTGTTTTAAGTAAGCTTATTTTAGGTGGCATATGAAAAAAAAAGTTGTTCCTATTACTGAGGCAATATACAATGTTGCTGTATAGGTATATATTAGATAATTAATCATATCATTCAACTCAAATAATTAGTTCTTTATAGTGACAACTTTTAAAATTCTGGCTTTCTGAAACGTAACATTATCTATAATCACCCTTGCTGCAGTAGCACACCAGAACTGCTTTCTCCCCTATGACTGACAGTACTCACTGGTCCTCTGGCCCTTCCTCCTTCTCTCCAGGCTCTGGTTGCTGCTCCTGAGCACTCACTCTTTTTACATTCCACATGTGAAGAAGATCATACAATTGCTTGCTTTTTGTGCCTGACATCTTTCTCTGGACATAGTAATTTTTAGATCACCCAGGCTGATAGAAATGACATTGTAGATAATGTGCCACGTTTTCTTTATCTATTCATAAACATTTTTGTAGAGTAGTATTGATGTAAGGTTACTACTTATGTTACTATATGTTACATGTACTATGCTTATTACAAGAGTTTTATGTAGTTGGGTTAGTAAATATTAAGCCATGTCTTAAAAAAAATGACTGTAAGTATAAGATAGCTATTTTATCAAATAAATGTTCTGTTGTGGTGGTGCAGATCTCTAATCCTGAAACTCTGGAAACAAGCTATAACAGGCTTTTCCTTTTGGGCCATCAACCAGCTCCCAAATGATGACATGGAGACTCCTTTCTAGTTATGAATACTTGACCTAGCTTAGGCTTGTTTCTGGCTAGCTCTCTTTAACTTAAAATAACCTGTTTCTCTTCATCTACCTTTGCCTCCGGGCTTTTTAACCGTTCTTTCCTCCTGTATATCTAACTTTCACTGCTTCTCATGTCTGGCTGGCATTCTGGCTTCAGGTGTGTCCCTCTCTTTCTCCCTTGTTCTGTCCTTCTCTCTTCTCTCCTTTCTCCTATTTATTCTTTCTGCCCACCAGCCGTGTCTGTCCTTCCTGCCTAGCTATTGGCTATTCAGCTTTTTATTAGACCAATCAGGTGCCTTAGGCAGGCAAGGTGAAACAAATGCAACACATCTTCACATCATTAAATACACATCCTTACATTGTTAACAAATACAGCATTAAAAATGTACACATCTTTGCATAATTAAACAAATGTAGTACAAATAAATATAACACATCTTTACATTTTAACAAAAGCAGTAAAAGCAAATGTAACACATCTTTACATTTTAACAAAGGCAGCAAAAATGCATTTTTGCTTAGTTAAAACAATACTTCACAAGAACAAGACCCAAGCATTACCAACCCTGGGCCATCCTGAGCTATGTACATATGAACATATATAACAAGGCTTTGTCTCAAAAAATAACAATTAATCAGGTAAAGGGGTTGTTAGTACCTTTAAATAAGTTATTTTGTTTCTTTGGTGTATTTTATGATCACCTAGAAAACTCCTTAAAGCATAGATTCTATGGTAACTACAAAATTTTAGTAGTCTGAGGTAGAGCCTGGCAGTATGGTGGTCATCTTTGGACCCAGCTGACTTCAGATTACATCTCTTAGGAATGCTTCGATGGTACTAAATGATAATGTAGCCATCATTGACCATTTCTCCCCATAAGGTTTTGTACAGATAGATGTAAAGGGAAAAAAGACAATTTGGAGCTTATACTCAAAAGCCCAGGTGGCTTGGGCTGGAGTGTGTGTGTGTTGGGGGGGGGGGTGGAGACATTAATTATATATGTATGCTGTCTTAAAGGCATGCAAAGCAAGTATCTCTTATCACAAGTAACTGAATTTCATGTTTGTTTCCTGTATCTTACACATGGGTGACTTATAAGGATATCATTTTCCCAGCAAATGTTTACTGCCCAGTACTACTCAGATCACTTGGGAATGTATCAGCAACACAAAGGATGAGTATCCTGCTGCACTCTGATATAAATATAGTTTATTATTTATGTCTGGCCAGCGGGATCTCACACTGATAAAAAGTATAGTTCATTTATATCTGGCATGTTAGAACTGAACAGTACACACATCTCAAAGTGAATTATCCTGTGGATCCATATTTTTTCTTTTATGAATACTAGTCTTAATGTTTTTCAATGTCCTTTAGACTCTAACTTAGTGCTATTTCTGCTTTTCCTTTTAATATATCAGTATGCTGTGTGCATTTATTTTCTTGCTGCTTCCTTTTACTCCTTTCCACATCTATAATTGACCCTATTCCAGACAGTTTAGAACATTACCCTGGTCCTGGTTTCCCAACTCTGGTCCTTCCTTGTTTTCGTGTATCCTACCTATGTGGTTAGGCTTGCATCTATATAAAGTCGTTGTAAGAGCACTGGACCATAAGACAGAGTGACAGCTTGAGTTATTCAGTGCTATATCCTAGCTAAATGAACATGTCACAGTACATTTCTGTGCTTTACATGTAAAGCTGTGCAGTTTGACACCCTAGCTCCTATATGCTACACACACACACACACACACTAGTGGGGATCAAGCCCAGGACCTTGTTAGCACAGAGTTCACAAGCTTTCTACCACTGATCTATATCTTTAGCCTTTTGCTTCTTGTTTCTTTTGCTACCTCTCACCTGTCACCATAGCTATCTAGTTTTTCCTTTCCATATACACATATGTACATGTAGTTTTTCTCATTTAAAAACAACACTGGTTTTCCTGATAAATTGAGAGTTTGTAGCATTTGGTATTTCACAATGGCTTTTAAGAAGGGATGAAGTGTGGTTGACACACAAAAGGCACAAAAGTCAATGATACATCCTTTATAAAAACTGATGTCATAATGTTAAGATAAGGTAAAATAAAATTCTGTGATGGTCAGAATTATCAGTCTTGGTACTTTACAGACAATTGTAGGTTAGCATGGCCCCTTAACTTCTCCGATGTCAGTTAATTCAGACAAGCTCAGAAAGAGGCTGAGACGGTTCTATCAGATGTGTGTTTGGTGTGAATCCAGTAAAGGCTAGCACTATGTTTTAACTATTACAAGTGGTATCTGATTGGTATGGCAGTGGTGTAATGAAGTCAAAGTAGTGTCCTTGACCTGAACTAAGGGCTATTTTACCTTTTATATTTTGCCATGGAAGCTGTCCTGTGAATTAGCTGTTGTGATAGCTTTTCACCCTGAAAATACAAATGGCTCTATGCTGTTTCTTTCATTTTCTTTGGTAGTTCCTGCATTATTTATTATGTATGTTGATGGCTTAATGAAATACTATATAACGAGGAAATCAGTAGATCCTTTACCAGTTCTTTTCTTAAAAGTTTTTTACTCTACAAAATAAAATACATTCAACATGTCAAAAACCCACAAATATATTAAGTTCATAAGAGAGTTATTAACAAAATAGTCTTTTGGAGGCACAATAGTTGTTTAACTTGAAAACCCTGAAGGAGGTACAATGGAAGTTGGGCTGTTTTAACCATGGTGGAGGCTGAAGTCGTATGAATTAGTGTTTGGGAACAACCACGAAGCTGACAGTAAAACATCGTGCTGGGCTTTCCAGCTCTGGTGTTGAGTGGTTCTCTGCAGAAAGACTCAGTAAGAAGGGAAATGAAAAGATAGTGTTGACATTTCCAGTGTGGGTAATTATGAGGATTATGATGGGAGTTTAAGAAGAAATAGATTTTCAGAATTAAAAATTACTTTTAATAAATATTTTTGAAGAAGCAGTTCAAAAGATAAATTTCCAAAGACTGAGAATGAAGAGTGAAGAGAGCATCTATATAATCTCTTAGGGTTGTGTCTACCTAACAGGATATTCCAGTTCAATTTGTCCAACCAAACAGCATTCACTTATTTATACTTTCTTGAAAGCCATTAAAATACCTGTGAACACTTAACTACTGAGATGATAGAGGTTAAAGACAACTTCTGTGAACACGTTTAAAAGACAGAACAGAGAAAGCTAAGTAATTGTGTTGGAGGAGTTAATTTGAACAAACTGATAGACTAGTAACTGCTGGACACCTTTGAAAACTGGACTTTGAGAGTGGGGGTGGGGAATGTTTACATGGGAATATTAGACTCTTATTTCTATCCTGCCTTATCTTTGTCCCCCTACATGGAAAGAGATTTCTTAAGAGAGTAACCTCAGCTATGGGACCTGTGGACTTTGAGGTAGCAGGCATTATTGAAAGTACCTAGATGACTGAAAGGCTTCCTTTGGGGAAGTTCACTAGCTCACAGAAAAGAAAAAAACCTTGATAGTGACACATGGGATTCCTCATTAAGACAAAATAACCATGTCCTCACCCACTGCCCAGTGGCAAAATCCTAGTAAATACCAACCTGCCTACTGCTTCTAATTTGCCTTTCAGTGTTAATGAGCTGCCCTGGTTTCAAGTGTTAATGAGCTGCCCTGGTTTAGGAATAGTTAATACTGTGTGTAAGATTTGGGGTGTGTGTGTGTGTGTGTGTGTGTGTGTGTGTGTGTGTGTGTGTGTGTGTATGTATGTATGTATGTATGTATGTATGTATTCACGCTATGAGATTAAGAGGGTAATTCACCCAGGTTGGTTTACACAAGCTTAAGAGATTTCTTCAAGATTCAATGTGTAGAATGCTCATATACAAATAGGTAGATATTATCACCAGTTTTTCTAATTGCAAGAAAGAGCTGCAGGTTTTTTTTTTTTTTTTTTTTTTTTTTGGTAAGGGCTGTTATGTCTATGGGTTTAGTAAAGTGGTAGCTGATAAAAATGTCTATGCTGCAGGAGTGAGGCCAGCACTGGAAGCAGCTCTCTCTAGCAACCCTCACATTGTTGGTACATTTATCCCCTTGAATTCTCTGTGGTTTTAGACTTTTGTATCACCTACTGGCATCAACCAGTTCATCTTAAAAACTTGGGGAGTAATTTCTATCTAACTTTAGTGTCTACACCTCTTCCTCTGTATTTTTTGTCAGTTAGGTTTCCATTGAATCTCACCTCAGTTAACATTTA